CGTCCACGCGTCCCCGAAAAACCCCGCGGGGGGGGGGGGGATGTTGCGTCTTATAGAGCGAACAATACGGTTCTATTTGTCAATTGATAGAAATGAGCCAAGCTCCAGGTCATGTGACACCGGGAGGGGATCCAGCACCCATCTGACCCTCTGACCCACATCTAGTACAAATGGGCCCCCATGTCCCATAGGACCCTTGTGCAACTGCAGTCTGCCCAAATGCTAGGCTCACCTCGGGTCCCAATTTTCAGCAAACCCCTCCCCCTACCGATAGAACAGTGAGAAACCTGCAGAATCTGCATAACATCACTTAAATAGCTTCAAGCTAAGAGGACTTTCCAACGTTTTGGTTATGAATGAAGTGCGGGAAGGGTCATGGTGACAACTGGGAGGGGGGTTTAACACCGCGGATGTCAACTGGTTAAAAAGGGAAAATATTTCTGGAACTTCCCTTCCTCTGATGGAAATAGCTGACGCGTTTACTGCCGTAGGGGAAGATTTCCACTCACTTCCTGTTCAGCTGAGCGGTGGCAACAGGGACAGGAAGCGAGGGGAAATCTCCCCAAAGGGGACACAGACAGTGACAAAAACCTGACAGAGGGCTTAGAGCAAGGGGTAGCAAACCTCCGGCCCTCCAGCTGTGGTGGAACTACAAATCCCATGAGGCATTGCAAGATTCTCACAGCCACAGGCATGACTCCCGAAGAGAGATGCATCATGGGATTTGTAGTTTCACCCACAGCCGGAGGTTTGCTACCCCTGGCTTAGGAGGATTATTGGCGATGTCCACAGAGCAGACATATTACGTAGACCTCCCCGGCCCGTTTCATGGCAGACACATATGTATCAGACGCATGATACACTACGCATGATCCATTCATACATACTGGTCTGGGAGGTCTATAAATATTGTCATGCACACACCACAGGGACGCGTTTAACCCCGTGCTCACCTGTAAACATCCTGGTGACGGTCTTGTTTTGCCTCCGTGCCGTGCACACCAACAGCAGCCATGGCGGGAGTAGCTCGTGGTGATTGGCCAGCAACTCGGCGATGGTACAGCTGGACTCCGCCCCAAACCCATCTGAGCGACAACAGCAGCACATCTCGTCCACAGAATCCACCAGCAGCAAAAGGTTCTGAGAAGGAGGAGGGAGTTCTGCCAGCGGCAAGAGGACCAGCCTGCAAAGAGGACACATGTCAGTAAATGGGAGGACCAGCTCACAATGCGGACACCTATCAACCAGCCTGCAAAGAGGACACGTCAGTAAATGGGAGGACCAGCCAACAATGAGGACACCTATCAACCAGCCTGCAAAGAGGACACGTCATTAAATGGGAGGACCAGCCCACAATGAGGACACCTATCAACCAGTCTGCAAAGAGGACACGTCAGTAAATGGAGGACCAGCCCACAATGAGGACACCTATCAACCAGCCTGCAAAGAAGCCATGTCAGTAAATGGAGGACCAGTTCATAATGAGGACACCTATCAACCAGCCTGCAAAGAGGACACGTCAGTAAATGGAGGACCAGCCCACAATGAGGACACCTATCAACCAGCCTGCAAAGAGGACACATGTCATAAACGGTGGACCAGCCCACAACGAGGAGACCTATCAACCAGTCTGCATAGAAGTCATATCAGTAAATGGAGGACCAGCTCACAATGAAGACACCTATCAACCAGCCTGCAAAGAGGACACGTCAGTAAATGGAGGACCAGCTCACAATGAAGACACCTATCAACCAGTCTGCAAAGAGGACACGTCAGTAAATGGAGGACCAGCCCACAATGAGGACACCTATCAACCAGCCTGCAAAGAGGACACGTCAGTAAATGGAGGACCAGCCCACAATGAGGACACCTATCAACCAGCCTGCAAAGAAGCCATGTCAGTAAATGGAGGACCAGTTCATAATGAGGACACCTATCAACCAGCCTGCAAAGAGGACACGTCAGTAAATGGAGGACCAGCTCACAATGAGGACACCTATCAACCAGCCTGCAAAGAGGACACATGTCATAAACGGTGGACCAGCCCACAACGAGGAGACCTATCAACCAGTCTGCATAGAAGTCATATCAGTAAATGGAGGACCAGCTCACAATGAAGACACCTATCAACCAGCCTGCAAAGAGGACACGTCAGTAAATGGAGGACCAGCTCACAATGAAGACACCTATCAACCAGCCTGCAAAGAGGACACGTCAGTAAATGGAGGACCAGCTCACAATGAAGACACCTATCAACCAGCCTGCAAAGAGGACACGTCAGTAAATGGAGGACCAGCCCACAATGAGGACACCTATCAACCAGCCTGCAAAGAAGCCATGTCAGTAAATGGAGGACCAGCCCACAATGAGGACACTTCAGTAAATTAAGGGTGACCAGGCGATAAGGTCGTATGCAGGTAAATTAGGGATCTCCCAGCAATGAGGCTACAGGTCATTGAAAGGAGAACCAGCCAGCAATGAGCCCACGTCACTACAGATCCTAGGGGGTGGGGCCACACAGTTATGTACATAAGATACATACTACATGTATGTGGGCTGGGACCATACGGCCTACAGATACAGAGGTTTCTTTATGGACCCTCGGGGGCAATGCCACGCCATTTACAGAGTCCAAGCACAATACAGGTACTTGGTGGCTGTACAATCTGTTAGTAGGGGACACACCACCCACCAGTGATGGAAGGACCAGAAAGTCTGTAACTAATACGCTGCGTGCCCACAGGATCCACCACTCAGACTACAGAAAGGGGGTTCAACCTTCTACAAAACCTTTAGGGGCCACACAGACCACAGCTCGCAGACAAAGGACAGATCCTTGAAGGTGGGGGACACAAAGTCTACAACCAGCAGATATGATAGAGAACCTCGGGGGTGGGACCACGGTTTCCTCACCTTTTGAATGTCTCGTTCAAATCCCCCTTACATGCGTCA